CGAAAGCCGAGGTCTAAGTTTGGAATACTGACCAGAGGGTGAGTCAGCGAACTGAAGTGAATAAGCTACCCGAGCATTAGTCACAGAGTCAAGTGCCGCATCTCTAGTCCCCCAGTATCAAGGGTAATAAGAGAAGAAAAAAAATCGTACTGCTGGGGTGCTCCACATCCCTACAGCAGTCCTTGGAGTCTGCCATTCTATCATTGCAACACTCATTTTCATCAACACAACAGGTTGTTTAGTGCTCGCCTCACGGGTACTTCGCTAGGTCACGCACTTTCCCTCTCATCAGGAATGATGGTACGATCCCCAGCTGGGGAATCTCTGTGCCAGGAAACCATACCGTGCTTCTCTCTCACGTATATGACTTGGAGGAGGAGGGTTTTTTAGACTGGCGGCACCAGTGTATAAGAATGTGTCGCGCATTACAATATGCCTTGCAAGCGTGACGCACGTGTGCGTGAAACAAGGGAAAAATGATATTCTTGCAATATTGCAGTCTCCGCTGGGGATGACAGAGGTATAGACCATTCCTCAAACCAATGGCCCGAAGACCAGGTGCCGAGTTAGGCGAATTTCTAATGGCATTACAGACCAAAACTTGAGAGTATACTCTGCTTATGAAGTCTCATTAGATCTCTCGGTCCATGTCGAGCTTCTTCAAATGCATTATGATGCAAGTCAGAATGACAACTTGTCTCCTCGTGGTCGACGACAACTAGCTGCTATCCGAATCACTCCCCGAGGACGCGACAATAATACTTAACGCACTCAAGACTTGGCGTAAGGAAACTTAATTTGAATGTTGAAGATGCCCATGGTAGAGTATTCAGGCTTGAGCAAAATAGCGCTGGAAATCCGATAACAGTGTAACACGGCTACTCCTATTCTCGAGAGATACCTCATAGCAGCGATCAGATATATGGCAGATCTCCGGGCGACAGGTACTACAGATCACCTGACCACAGTAGAGCGAAAAACATTAAGCATGGCAGGAGAGAAAATGACAAGTACCTGAGCGGGTGGGGGAGGACGATGCCCTAGAGGGTTGGGGTTGGTCACAGACGATATGAGCCTCGCGAAGGCCTCTCGATATCTATAACGAATCCGCTGATCATGTTGCTGGTAGCGAGGAATGAGTGTCGCTACTGTGCATCTAATGCTGAGTCAATCTCGTCTAGCAGATAAAGGGGCGGCTGCTCTGAACGTAGTATGGCGAACAGAAGGGCTACGGCAACCTAAGCCCTCCCGAGAAGGAGGAGAAGTACTGGTTCAGGGGAGTGACTGATCACTTACAACAGACTTCTGGCTACCACTCAACTCGTGCATTCTACGCATGTTGGTAGTTCCAGCAGCGAACATCACCTCGATCGATACTCCAGCATACCTGAGGGGACTACTTAGAATCCACCGACAAGACCCGAACATATTTCAAGCGATAGAATCGACACGCGCTTATGCCGTGTGTCAGACTAGAGTCTTCCGAATGCGGTGTACAATGATAAGTCAACCACGAAAATTGTCATGGGGAAAGATACAAACACCGAGGACTCACTTCTCATCGACTGTTGCAGCAGCACCTATATGGTGTTCCTCCTCCTCCTCGTCTTCTCCCTCATCCAGTCCCGGACTAGGATCGCGCTTGAGAAGCCTCATTTTGACTGTGCCACCTGGAACCTGGGAAGGACTTCTACTATGATGATGAGCAACACCAGGCCGCCTACTAGTTCTCTGAATGTTGCCGCGAAATGTTCATTAACTTGAGCAAAGCTCTTGATGATGTTGTTATCCTTTTCTCCGTCTAATTTGGCTATCAACTCGTCTATTGCTACCTATTAACACCCCACTATGGCTACTCAATCCACAGCAAGTTTCCTTGTCGTCTACCTGGCCTTGGTCCATCTCCTCCTGACTTCGCAGTAGCTCCTTATACTGGCCATCAAACTGAGCAAACCTGAGCAGCATACCGCTCGCAACTCCTAAACCCTTTCCATAGTTGTTACTGTTCGAGTGCCTTGTTATTAACAAGAGGGTATTTCTCCAGCTCGCCTCTACACTCCATAGCTCTCCTCTGTAGCTGACGTATGGTAACTCCCTGAGAACTCCCTGCCGCAGCACTAGAGGTATACCTGCCGCTACTACCTCGCCTATCTTCTTGGTCTCGTCTTCAATTCGCTCAACACTACCCGACAACTCCGCGACGATCTCATCCAGCTTCGAATCAGCGATTTTGAACTTATCTTCATAACTATGCAAAAGCAGCGATTCTCTTCCCTCTCATCTGCCCAAGCCTCACTCCGTGATCTCATTCTGATTTTCATTGTAGCTTTCCTTGAGCTTCAATATGGTCCTCTCGGACTCTGCCACTTCCTGCTCCATATCTTCCACTGACTTACCTACCAGCTACTGCCACCCTTTCGATGTTGGAGTAACTACTCTTAGACACTATGGACTCCTCCAACTCAGCTCGCCGCTCTTCTCGTAGTGCCAATTCTTGCTCTATCTCGGCCAACTCCCCCGCTAGCCACTGGCGCCTCCTAACACCATCGTAGTAGTAGCGAATACCCAAGACGCACTCTGTGAAGCCCACCGCTGCCGTTCCCTCCAAATGATGGTAGCCTCTGTACAATTCATCTCCACAGTCTTGAGCTCCTTCTGTAAGTTCGGGATCTGCATGCCGATGAGAAGCGATTCTCGGTCTCTAAGCCTCGCGATGGCGTCTGCGAGCTCTCCTGCCGCTCTATCACAGGAGCAACAAGAGTGCCAAGGGCAGGGACAGCATACGCTCACTCCGTGATCTGTGTCAATCTGTGTCCCTTCTCCTCGATTTCCTCCTCCAGCTTCTCTAGTTGTTGGGCCTCGGCAACAGTGAGGGCTCCAGATGGCAACTTCTTCGTCTCTATCAGTAATACAGTCGACGCCTCCACCCTGTGTGCAGCAGCATCAACAACTCACTCATCTCTGCACGTATAGCTATGATATCCAGTTCTAGTTGCTCTCTTTCCGCCTCATATTCCCTCTTCAGCCTAAGACACACTACGCACTCCCGACACTCTGCTTCCTCTCGAGCCCTTCTTACTTCGCGGCGAGCTCCAATGAATTCTCCAATCGGTGAACAGCTTCCCGATCTTCAGTCACCTGCCGAAGCCTGGAGGATTGGGCCTAAGTCGATATTGATCCTGGATCAAATCATGGTCCTCTCCCTTCTTCATCAGCCTACATTGAGCTGAGCTTGAGCAGTGCATCTTAAGTCAACAAGATGCTCCTGTAGCTCCCTCTCTGTTGTTCGAAGCTGCTGAACTTGTTTTTCGGCTTCGGCTATTCTTTCTCGATTCCTATTTATATCCACCTCCAACTCCTCAGCGTGATACCTACCACACAATAGACACGACATGGCCAACTTAGCGCCGATCAGAGTTCCCATTATCGTACCAGTCTCGGAGCCTCGTGTACCGTTCTGGACTGGTGTAACCTCCCTTCATCACACCTGGTATGATCAAGTTGTAACTGCTGCTCGCTATTGCGTTGGATACCTCTCCAAGTGCTCGTATCTCCACCTTCGGTGACGGCATCCAAATGGAAGTCCGCAAGCTTGGCGCCCATTTCAAGGTCCGGCACGAGTACATGCCTGAGACACGTAATCGACCATCTCGAACTCTTAGCAGTCCCGGTATTGACTACACGACAGAGATTGCTCGCCACGGTCGAGGACTCACCTTCGCCAAACCTGTTCCACTGCACAGCGGGCCCAATCTGGACTCTCGATGACATCGACGAGTGGTAGGATATTCGCTACTTCCCCACGAGGGTAGGAGACATCACTGTTAATGATTCGTACCTTAACCATGACAAAATTATAAAAGAGTCGATGCTCGAGTGGCACGGCCACAGTACTATCCACTAGATGTACTAACCTTCCCATACCTGTTCCAATGGGGTCAAGGTGATCCGCAAGGGCTTCCCTATCTCCACTTGTTTCTCTCGTATAAAGCTGAGACATTCCTCTCCCACTTTATCATCGTCCACCAAAATGTTGAACAACGATAAGCCGCCCGTGACTTCGGCGCACAAACGGTATTGCTGAAGAAGCCGGAAATGGACAACTGGTGGCAAATGTGCACAGCCTCTCTATTTGGGATCGATCGCAGTAGCGAGAAGGACTTGCAGCAAGATGAGCACCTCTAGTATATCCACATGCTCAATGAGTAACCCATGAACACCGTCAATGCCCGATTCCATCAACCATGTGTACCTACACACACCGTACGTGTCCTCCAATAGCTTGAAGTAGTAAACGATACGGAGGCATGTGGGGAAAAGTCACTCACCCCTCTCGTACAGCACGAGGCGCTGTTCGCCAGACTGCTTCTAGTAACTCTTGCCGCTGTCTGGAAAAGCTCTCCTCTTCTTCCCTCAACGCGTTGATTTCCTGACCGTAATCCATCAACGAATCGCAGGTGGGCGTTCACTAGTAAAGTGATGAACACTTTGTAGCGAAAACGTCAAGCTGCAGTGGCGCCTCAAAAGATCAACTATGACCTTCGTCATGACAGATGAGAGTGTGAGTTCGGTTAGGAGAGGCCACCACCTTCATTTTCTGCCTTATTTCATCCTGCGTGTCAGCGATGTTCCTCTCAGTGGTCGCTATATCGGCATCTCCATTCTGTCCAGCATAGGCCTGGCTTTCTGCCTCTAGCCGGGCGATCTCGGCACCGATACGGTCAACTGAGGAGAGGCAAAGCGGCTATTCGCACCATCACAGCCCACAGCCTCAGAAGCATGCATAGCTTCGTGCCCTTCAAGGTAGGACTGTTAGGGTCCAATCAACCATAAAGGTGCATCCCTCGAGACGCCTCACTCTCTTGTTGTTCTTCGTCGAGTTGTGCTGTTTGTTTTCCCAACAGGCCCTCTACTTCCTCCAGGCGTTGGTTCTTGGATGCCACCTTTTCGGAGAGATACTCATTCCTCTCCGCCACCGATGCGTAACTACGGAATGAGCAACATCGAGGGAAGATTGTGACCCCGTCGAGTGCGAATCCTGTAGGAATTGGCGAAGTTCAATAACACTTCAACAGGCCCTGTGGCGCAACGGTAGCGCATCTGACTCCAGATCAGAAGGTTGTCCGTTCGAATCGGGCCGGGGTCATTTATCTAGAGCTATCTTTTGTAGTCATCACTCATTTTCTGTCATTAACCAGGAAAATTAAACGCTCAGTGGACTCCTCGAAGTATTTTCGATACCGGCGAAGGGTCTATCACAGGCCGACTCTATTTGCCCATCACTGTTCACCTTGGGCCGGAGCCTTTCTTAACGGCCAATTTCTCTCGCTTACGGGTCGCCACAGCCAACTCGGAGCGCAAGGAGCTGCATGCAACAACATCATCAGCGCGGTTATCGTACGAGGGGGTCTACTCCTGTTCCTCCTCTATACTCTGCAGCTGAGCTTTCTTGCCCTTAAACGCAGTGGTCACATCATCCAACTCCTCGTTGGCTCTCTCGAGTCTTCCCCGTAGCTCCTCCATCTCAGCTGTGCCTACAATTCAAGTGAGAGTCCGCACCTCTTCGTTTAATAGTGTACCACTACTCTTCTCGACAGCCTCGTCGCGCCCTTCAGATGCACCACAGATCTCCGCATGCTCTGTAGATAGTTTCTCTCGACGCTTCGATAAGAACCTCACTGAAAGTCAGTTCCATAAAGCTGCCCATTCCCTATCAACGACTACATCTAGTCGAGGTCTCGGTGAGCTCTTTAGTTAGCTCCTCCAAGGCAGACTTCTCCCGACCCACCTCAGCGGACATGTCCGTCATCACGCCCTGTTCCCCTCCTAGGTCGGCCAGAATCGCCGATGCCTGCTACACGATTCTGCGATCGTTGAATGGGACACCCCCAACCTGCTGCTCGAGTTCCTTGATGCGCTCCCTGCACTGCCTCTTCTCTCTATCAGCGATGACACTCTCAATCGCTACCCTTTCTCGACTGAGTGCTCTCGCCCTAACAAGACACCTACCAATCCCTCCCTGCCTTGTGCCTACTCTTGCAGCTCCTTCTGCTCCTCGTCTAGCCTATCGAGTTTGCCTCTAATATCATCCATGACCTCCGCTATGTGCTCTCTCTTCTTCCTCGTAGTCTCCAGAACAGCAAGCGACTCCGCACGCCTGACTCGGGCTATGCAATGCTATACCGTTGCCACCCTATCTCACCGTTCATCGTATATATGAGCTCCCGATACCTCCTTGAGAAGATCCAATCGCTTAGCATCAGACATTCGCGTCAAGGCCGTCACCTTACCATTCTCCACTATAGAGTACCTACACCCTCCACTATCCCTCTGACCAGCAAGGCACTTCTCACGTGTTGTGTTTATTACTAATACCAGCGCCTTCCAGCCAGCTATCAACCTCAGCCTTAGTTACCTCCTTACCATTCCATTCGTACCTACCGCTAAAATCTCTCTCATACCTCCTTAGACACCCTACACGTCAGTGTTGATGGTAATAGTCCTTCGAAGGACCACTTCCGCCTTGTCTACAGGTATCTTTCCATCAGAGTTATCGAAAGTAACCTCAACAAAGGCTGAGGCCACTTGCTGCCCCTGACCTACTCCAACCCGTCATCAATGCCCATGCCCTCATCCACACCTACTTTCATGGAGCATAGCCCGTCGCTGTTGCTCTTTGCTGACTCCGTCCCCACCAAGAGCGAATCGTATTGCCGAGAATCTGCATAGGTCCAAAGAGTAAGCAGTACTAGCAGCGTAGTCAACCAAAAACGTTGGTGATAATATGAAAATTGTGAAGGAATTTTGAGAAATTCTCGTTGACTCCTTACACTTCTACCCGAGTTAATGTATAAACTATTAAAATTAGTGAGGAAACTCCAAAGCTCAGCTGAGGAAAGCAAACACTGAGCGCTAGTGCCAATAGACTTACATATTGCTCTTGCCACTGCCATTGAGCCCTACGAGCACATTAACTCCAGCGTGTAGATCGACTATGGTAGTGAGATCTCGGTAGGTCTTGTAGCCCTTTATTGTGAGCTTCTTTAAATGCATTAGAAAGGTGAATTATGAACTGCATATGCACATTGACCCCCACAGGAACTACCTACCCTATACGCCTTTTATTGACATCAGCCTTCAACACAACACACAGTATTTTACACTAGGATACGCACGAATCCACGGCATTACAACGAGAAACAATCACGGTGGTACAGGATGGTATCACAGATTCAGGAGCGTTCAAACATACCAGCTAGCTTCCTCCGTTGCTTAGCAGTCTCGGCTTTATTCTTCCGTTCGATTAAGTCCATCTCGACCTTAATCGACCTACAATGATGGAGCTTCTAGCAGCCTCCTGTGGTGAAGTAACCTATTACCTATCAGTTGGGTCGAGGGAAGCAGCCTCATTTAAGTCCGATATGGCAGCATCATAGTCCCCTAAGATGTGATGAGTGAT